ATACTTTGTTTTATATGGAATCATAAAAAAACACAAATAGCCAACACGTTGCTCAGAAATAAAAACAAAGCAGGAGGAATCATGCTACCAGACTTCACACTATACTATAAATCGATAGTGATAAAAAGAGCATGGTACTGGCACAAAAACGGAGAGGTAGATGTGTGGAACAGAATAGAGAACCAAGAGATGAATGCAGCTACTTACTTTGATCTTTGATAAGCCAACTAAAAACATTCAGTGGGGAAAAGATTCCCTATTTAACAAATGGTGCTGGGTGAACTGACTGATGACCTGCAGAAGATTGAAACTGGACCCACACCTTTCACCACTCACTAAGATAGACTCTTAGTGCATTAAAGATTTACACTTCAGACATGAAACTATAAAAATACTAGAAGAGAACGCAGGGAAAACACTTGAAGAAATCAGTGAATATTCTATGAGGAGGATCCCCTGGGCAATTTAAACAACACAAAAAATACATTACTGGGACCTGATCAAACTAAAAAGCTTCTGCACAGCCAAAAATACAGTAAGTAAAGCAAGCAGACAGCCCTCAGAATGGGAGAAGATATTTGCAGATTATGTCTCTGACAAAGGTTGAATAACCAGAATTCACGAGAACTCAAACATATTAGCAAGAAAAGAACAAGTGATTCCATCTCAGGGTGGGCAAGGGACTTGAAGGGAAATGTCTCTGAAAAAGACAGGTACACAGCCTACAGACATATGAAAAACTGCTTATCATCCTTAATCATCAGAGAAATGCAAATCAAAACCACTTTGAGACATCACCTAACTCCAGTAAGATTAGCCTACATCACAAAATCCCCAAAACCAGAGTTGCTGGCATGGATGTGGAGAAAAGGAAACACTTCTTCTGCACTGCTGGTGGGAATGAGAACTAATTCGTTCCTTTGGGAAAGATGTTTGGAGAACACTTAGGGATCTAAAAATACACCTGCCATTAGATCCTACAATTCCTCTACTAGGTATATATCCAGGAGACCAAAAATCACTTTACAACAAAAATATTTGCACCAGAATGTTTACTGCAGCTCAATTCATAATAGCTATGTCTATTATGGAACATAGACATAGAAGAATGGAAGATGCCCAAGTGCTCATCAACCCATGAATGGATTAATAAATTGTGGTATATCTACACCATGGAATGTGATGAAGCCTTAAGAAAAGATGGAGACTTTTCCTTTTTCGTGCTCACATAGATAGAGCTAGAACATATTCTTCTTTGCAGAATATCTCAAGAATGGAAGAAAAAGTATCCAATGTACTCAGCCCTACTATGAAACCAATTTCTAGCTTTCATATGAAAGCTATAACCCAATTATAGCCCAAGAAGAAGGGGAGAGGGAGAAGAGGGGAGGAGGGAGGTTGGGTAGAGGGAGAGTAATTGGTGGGACCACAACTACGGTGCATTTTAGTTAAATTTACAGTATAGAATACAAATGTCTTTTTTTTGCAGTTTTTGGCTGGAGGTTGGTTTGAACCTGCCACCTCTGGTATATGGGGCTGATGCCCTACTCTTTTGAGCCACAGGTGCTGCCCAAATATAAATGTCTTAACACAATAACTAAGAAAATGTGGTAAAGGCTATGTTAACCAGTTTGATGAAAATATTTCAAATTGTATATACAATCACACATTGTACCCCTGGATTGGGTTAATGTACACGCCTGTGATTTAATTAAATTTTTTGATATTAGAAAGTTTTTAATTAATTTTTTTCATATTAGAAGAACCTTTTATCCAATAAAAAAAAAGAAGAACCTTTTTTCTTACTGTGACAACAATAATAGCTACAATACTATGATTATATTTCATTCTTTTCTTTTAGGACTTTAATTTGTAGAAGTGAATAAAACTAAATTTGGAAGATAGGATGCCTATAGCTGTAGAAAGAAAGTATGCTCATATTAGAAAAAGATTGTATCATCTGGGATACTGCCATACTCTGACAGTGGAGAGTTTACCATTAGCACAAAATCTTTTCAGGTAAAGACAAAAATACAGTTCTCAACCTATATAATCCTTAATCTGCTTTCACAATTTTTGATTGAACTTCATGCTTCAGTAAAGAAAAGAGTATATTTTTGAAGTCTTTAAATCATCTGAAGCTCAGCTAATCTTCCTTGAATCCTACTCCCTTGTCCTCAATCAAGGTTTCATCATTGTATAACTCTAGCAATCACCGTTCATACTGAACTGTTCATAGCAAACATTTCTGAAGTTTTTCTCTGACTAGGAGTACAATATTTTTGGTTTCTAATAAAGGGACCAGATACATGTCTTAAGTTCTGTGTCTGCTTCACAGTCATGCATCATTTAACGAGGGAGATACATTCTCAGAAATGTATCATTAGGTGATTTTGTGAAGGGCATATCATGGAGTGTACTTAGAGTTGATGGTGCCTACTACACATTGAGGTTATGTGGTATAGCCTGTGGCTTCTAGGGTGCAAACCCTTACAGCATGTTACTGTGCTGAATACTATAGGCAGTGTAACACAATAGTAGATACTTGTGTATGCAAATATACAAAAGTTACAATAACAATACAGCATAAAGAAAGGAAAAATGGAATACCTATATAGGGCATTTACCAGGAATGGAGCATATAAGACGGAAAGAGACGGTGGGTGAGGCAGGGAGTGGTGAGTGAATGTGAAAGCCTCAGACATCACTGTACACTTCAGTTCCACTGAATTCATTTAAAGCATTTTTTTCTTGGAAGCCAGGCATGGTGGCTCATACCTTGTAATCCTAGCACTTTGGGAGGCTGAGGTCAGTGGATCTCTTAAGGTCAGAAATTTGAGACCAGCCTTAGAGAGACCCCATCTCTAAAAATAGCTGGGCATTGTGGCCAGTGCCTGTAGTTTCAGCTCCTTGGGAGGCTGGAGCAAGAGAATCACTTGAGCCCAAAAGTTTGAGGTTGCTGTGAGCGTGACACCATGGCACTCTACAGAGGGCGACATAGTGAGACTCTTTCCCTAATGAAAAAAAAAGAGAGAGAGAGTTCCTGGGGAGGAAAAGAAACATGTGGATTAGATTTTTAGAATTAAAATTGCTGTAAAGAGTATGAAATGCTGTATCTGAACAAATGCTCTTAAAATAACTTTTTTCTCTTACTGAAAATTAAAGTATAAAGTAAGGTGAAAGCTGTATATCACTCTGATTGTTTAATAGTTGGTCTTTGAGCAGTAGCTCTTATGTACCAACCATGCTAGGGACAGAAAAATAAATAAGAATTCCTGCTATGGATGGCTCGGTATCCGTAGCTCAGGGGTTAGGGTGCCAGCCACATACACAGAGGTAGGCGGGTTTGAACCCAACCTGGGCCTGCTAAACAACAATGACAACTACAACAAAAAACTACCTGGGCATTGTGGTGGGCACTTGTAATCCCAGCTACTTGGGAGGCTGAGGCAAGAGAATTGCTTTAGCCCAAGAGTTAGAGGTTGCTGTGAGCTGTGATGCAACAATACTCTACCGAGGGTGAGAAATGAAACTCCATCTCAAAAAAAAAAGAAAGAAAGAAAGAATTCCTGCTATGGGATAGTCTAGCAGGAAAGATAAATTTCAAAACAAGAAATGACATGATAATACAAACGCAATGCAGTTGGCCCTCCATATTTGCTGATTAAAGAGAAAAAAACCATTAAAAAGTAACAATACAGCTATTTATGAGACACTTATATTAGGTATTATAAGTAGAGATGATTTTCAGTGTATGTGTGCAGGTTATATGGAAATACTATGGCAATTTAAACACAGGACTTGAGCATCCTTGGATTTTGGTTCTTTGGGGCTCCTGGAACCAATCCCCTGAAGTTACTGAGGGGAGAGATGACTATATATATTTTTGGTTAATTCAATAGTTGAGGAGAGCTTAAACTTAAAAGATTTATTTCTTAGATGGTTTATAGTTGAAAACAATCTCCTTAAAATACCACTCCCTTTTCTTCTGTATTCAAACCAATTAATATTGAGTGTCTAAAATGCTTTGCCCTGGGAACACAACACTCAAGATAGACTTAGTTACCTTCATGGACCTTCCTGTCTGGCAGGAAAGGTCTTGAAAGACAGGAGACTTTAGGGATTAAAGTCCTTGGGAAACTGAAAGGAATCTAGGCCTGTGAACAGGAGCAATAAACTTCTCTGTACTTTCACACGGTCTGCTTTTAACACCACCTTTCTGGCCATAATTCACGTTTACAGGTCACAAAAGTCATAGAATTTTAGAACTAGAAGGCACCACAAAACTTAGTTGATTCCATTAATGATGCTGCCACTTGGAAAACTAAGGCTCAGGGATATATAAGGATCTCCCTAAGGTTACACAGCTAATTAGTCACTTCTACACGATGCAGTGTGCCAGGGAAATATTTAAATAAGACTGTTTTGAATTTCAGTCATTATCACAAATTTTTACAGAGGCCCAAAGGTCTAACCACATTTCCCCCCCAGTTCTGAAATAAAGTCAAAGTAAAAAGGTATTTGATAACCCTTCTGGCTCTGCCAGCAAATCTTCTGAATCCTGACCTCCTACACTTTATTGGGTTTCATTGTGATGAGCTTCTATAGTATCCCTTCATACTACATGCCATGCTTGTAATTTTGATGAATGGCTGTCTGTAGTGAGAAGAAAGAACTGAAGGCACCAACAGTGGATGCAGGGAGACCAATTAGAGATTAGTCCAGGTGTCAATGAGGGGATGGTGAGAAGTTGATGGATTATAGAGTTTTAGCAAGTAGGATATATAAGACCTAGCAATTGGGGTGGTGCCTGTAGCTCCACGGGTAGGGTGCTGGCCCTATATACCAAGGGTGGTGGGTTCAAACCTAGCCCCAGCCAAACTGCAACAAAAAAATAGCCCGGCATTATGATGGGTGCCTGTCCTCCCAGCTACCTGGGAGGATGAGGCAAGGTAATCACCTAAGCCCAGGAGTTGGAGGTTGCTGTGAGCTGTGTGATGCCACAGCACTCTACCATGGGTGATAAAGTGAAACTTTGTCTGCACCAAAAAATATAAATAAAAATAAACCAGCAATTGTATAGGGCAGGGCCTAGGAGCTAGCTATTAGGTTTCTGATTTGAGTACATGATAGATGCCGGTGTTTGAGATAGAGAATATTGACGATTTGGTGGTTGAACAAGTCAGTCACAAGAAGATCCTTTATCATGACAAGATAAATTTGTTGGGCAACTTTTGTTTGAACCAAAAGCTAAATTTTGCAAACTCCTCTTTAGATATCATATGTAGATGAATTTGTGCTGAGTTATCAGCTGATGTCTCAAAGAAAATCTACTTGATTAATCAAATATAGTTTTGTTTCAGCTATAAGTTTCTCTTAAAAAATGAAATACAAGGCTCAGCACCTGTGGCTCAAGTGGCTAAAGTGCCAGCCACATACACCTAAGGTGGCAGGTTCAAATCCAGCCCAGGCCCACCAAACGACAATGACGGCTGCAACCAAAAAATAGCCGGGCATTGTGGCTGGTGCCTGTGGTCCCAGCTACTTGGGAGGCAGAGGCAGGAGACTGACTTGAGCCCAGGAGTTGGAGGTTGCTGTGAGCTGTGATGCCATGGCACTTTACCCAGGGGGACAGCTTGAGGCTGTCTCTCAAAAAAAAAAAAAAAATGAAATACAAGCCAAAAATAATATAATGGAAGTGGGGATAATTGTATAGTATGGAATGCTAGCTGTGTTTAATTTTATTAGTTAAAATTGAGTGGGAAGGGAGACGAGACTAGCACTTAAGACCACAGGTCCCAAGAGAAGCTAAGAAGAGGAGACATGTGGGTCATTTGAGATAATGGTTTTCAATAAAAGTGAACTTTGAAGTTTCCCTACATTTGTATTAAACAGTTGTCAACAACTATCTGATAAGCATAACTATGGTGTACATTTATGCTATCATTTCAAAAACATTCAAGAGTAAAAGCACATTCAGAGCTCCAGTGGGAAAGAGTATCTCCTTCCATTATCTCTTGATAATTCAAACCTATGAAGTACCTACACATGGTAACATGTTTGTTAAGCTGAAGCTCCTCATTCAATTTCCCCATCTTGGTAGGTTTATTTTAAAATCATGAGTAAAACAGAGCCTCAACCTATTCTCTCAAGCTAAGGATCTAAAAATAAGGCTTTGTAATGGGGGTCTCCAGCCAATCCCCATAACTAAGGAATAAACACTCCAAGGTATTCTTCTGAGTTCTATAAGTAGCCATCCTATCAAAGATAACTAAAGAAAATCTGGAGACAATAAAAAACAAAGTGATAAACTGATGACGGTCATCAGTCTCAAGAGCCTATCAAAGAGTTCGAACTGACTCAGGGCAAAAACAATGTGGGCCCAGAGTATTTCCTGGGTAAAGTCACTAAGCTTTGGGAGGGTAACGATGCCCCAAGCAGTACTCACAGCCTGGCTCCGAAACCCAGCCTGGCCCCACACCCTCACCTCGCTCCAGGGCACATAGCCCCCCTCTCTTCCCTCCACCTGACATTTTCCTACCCCATTTGCCAGGGCTGCCCACCAGCCCAACCTCCCCTGCTCCCCAAACCCCAGCTCCCAATAACCCACATCCAAGTCAGCCGTGGTGTGTTCCAACTCCCACTTCACCCCCAGTGATCCCCACCTCTTATCATATGCACAGGGACTTGCAGCCCAGCTGACAGTGTTTCAACGGAGTTGTTAATTGAGATCACACCTGCAGAGAATTAAAACAGCCAGTTAGAAGCTTTAGGAGCCCTCTCGGCTCACTCTGAGGCCAATTACCCAGAGACTTCCATCAACTAAGCTCTGGGGGAAAATTGGTGCTCCTGAGGTGGAACCGAGGTGTGAGGGGGTTGAACAGCTGATGGGGGTCAAAGATCACACGTTGGTGTCACCAGGAAAGCAGTCTCATAGTGGGTGTGTTGGGGTGAAAGAGAAGCAAACCTAACTGCATTCTGTTGTTTTGCTGTTCCTGAGAGTCAGTGGGCGGCAAAGCAGGCCTCATTCTATTCTGTTGTTTTGCTACATTTTATTGCTTTGGAAGAAAACCGGTTCCGTTTGCCTCCCCACCCTTCACATGGTATTGTAAATGTACCTGATTAGAACTGTTAGAATTATTAATATTGTGTAGAAACATTGTGTACAGTCATCAGGCTCAAGTCTCAATTCTACACAATTAATATTGTGTAGAAACTAACATTTTTGTGACAACAACCCTCATGGTTATGTTAAGGTAGTCTTCATGCCATCTGTTTATGATAGGAAAATGCTAAAAGAGCAAGTTTGACTCCACTTTTCTGTTATATTTCCTTCTCTATCCTATTTTATTGCCTTAGAAACTGGTTCCTGACTGCACTCCTGATTATATCCTTGCTGATTACTGTGTTTCCCCACAAATAAGACCTACCCAAAAAATAAGCCCTAGCAGGATTTCTATGCATTTGTTAAATATAAGCCCTACCCCAATAATAAGACCTAGTGATGGGCACGGTTATGCAGATACACTACATAGCCACGCCAAGCATTTCGGCGTGGACAGTAAGACATCCCCTGAAAGTAAGCCCTAGTGTGTCTTCTTGAGAAAATATAAATATAAGACAGTGTCTTATTTTCGAGGAAACACAGTATTGCTTTTTGTGATCATGCCATTTACAACCCCCCACCTGCAATTCCTCTGCCCTACACTACTGTGGAACATTATGGATTATATTTGTTTTGTAGAAAGTTACTAAGTGGTCTCATGATCATAACATTGTAAACTGACTAAACTGCCACACTCTCATGATGTTGCAGGAAGACGAGGCCCAGTGGAGAGAAAGAGCACCCAAACACCATGTTTATAAGAGAAAGGGCTTTAGTCACCAGCTGGGAGTTTACAGCATAGGAGAATTCCAAATGGCTGCACTCCCCAACTGGCTTGGTTTTTCCCTTTTTATCAACAATCAAAAAGTTCCACCCCACAGGTACCCTTCTCATTGACCAGTTTGAATCAAGTGGAAGATGCTATTCTAGCCCCTACAAAATTACAGGATTTCACAGAACTTGGAAATTTGCAAGTTCCAGCAAGTTAAGTTTACAAATTCCCAAGAGGTAAGTCACCATGGAGAGGACTCTGCTGGTGTATCTTTGTGGTCTCCTTAAGAAGACCCATTCTCCTAGACCTCACCCTTTTCCGGTATCCTCTCTTAGTGATCTCCCCAACTTG